CGGCTGAAGAGACAAGCAACATGTCCAGCCAAGCAAATTGAACGAGCATGGGGAAGTGTTTATTGTGCCATGGACGTGGTTAGGTGATGAGGTGAGGTCATGGTCGCGATAACGCCAACGAGATTGATTCGTCCAGCAAACGGGCTTTGGACGGGATATCCCACGCGGCATCGGTAGGTAGGGTAGCGGTAGGCAACCTTCATCAGTCCTGCATGCGGTCGTTGGATTTGGGCGCATTTCAAGATGGTGTACTGTACTGTACTGTACCCGAGATACTCACTCTACTCTAGACACTTGCTGTACCCGAGATGCTCACTCTACTCTAGACACTTGCTGTACCCGAGATGCTCACTGTACCCGAGATACTCACTCTACTCTAGACACTTGCTGTACCCGAGATGCTCACTCTACTCTAGACACTTGCTGTACCCGAGATGCTCACTCTACTCTAGACACTTGCTGTACCCGAGATACTCACTCTACTCTAGACACTTGCTGTACCCGAGATACTCACTCTACTCTAGACACTTGCTGTACCCGAGATGCTCACTCTACTCTAGACACTTGCTGTACCCGAGATGCTCACTCTACTCTAGACACTTGCTGTACCCGAGATGCTCACTCTACTCTAGACACTTGCTGTACCCGAGATACTCACTGTGCTCTAGGTTCCTAAAGGACTGACCTTGGCATCGTCGTGATCCTTCTGACAGCCCCTAACGCAGGAACACCGCGGTCGAGCACACACACACACACACATGTGCAACCTCGGAATTCAGGGTCCACGCACGTGCTTGACAATGGCCATGGTCATCTGCATCTGTGGATCCCTATCCTATCGTAGCCTACCCACGAGAGATGGAATCACATTAGGGAAATAGCCGCGACCAATCCTGAAAGCTTCATGTATAGCGGTCAGAGCACGCGCAATCATGTGTTCATAGGCCACTTCCTATATTGCTGACTTGTCGAAGAACAATGCACTATGCGCATAAGCTGTCGAGTGAGTTTGATTTGTCCGCCATATGTCGGCCAATAATCTCGATGTGGTCCTGCTCGGTACTGATCATAAACACTGTCCAAAATCTAAACACTCCTCTGCTGCTAGTTCCGGTATCCGTCCTGCTCTCCAAAAGCCTTGTCGCCGGAATGTTGAGCATGCATACGCTGATAGAGATGAAGCCCGTATGCCAGTATGAGATGAGCTCAAGGGAGCTGCCGTAATGGCATGCGCTTTTCAAAGCTTGAATGTCCTCTGCCCATTGCGAAGCGAAAATCGTCGAAGATGCCGGGGGCAGCAAGCCTCCGCGTATATCGATTCAAGATGGATCAAGGCCGTAACATGCTAACATTCCAATATGCAATATCTTTCACTTGCACATTGATGTGCTCCCGCTTAAAAACGCCAAGACAGTGCTTTCCAAACGCCGTATCCCTTTGTATGTATGCGCCGCGCTTAACCCAGGACAAGGTAGTAGATGATCATGAAAGTGTTGATGAACATGAGTGGTACTGCTGACGTTAGTAAACCCTGGGTTTTCGTACAAGCCATGTCAGAGGCCTCTGAGGAAAATGCAGGTCGCGCAGTATGCAGGCCATGACAACAGCGGGGATGGTTCACGCCGTGCTCACGTACTTCTCATAAGTGTTCGAACCGAGGAAACCAGATTTATCAAGCGCGCTTTTATACTCGCATCATCGCGCATCCCGCCAAATCCAGGTTCCACCGCATTCGTCCAACCAACTATACACACGTATGTCAGTCCTCTGTTCTGCGCTCGCTCAAGGAGGGTGTCGCGTAGGGTTGAAATCGTATAGGGCCGTGTTTCGCTGGGGAGGCAGAAACGTACTTCTTGCAAGAAATCGGTCTTCGGAAAGTATCGCTATGGCATTGATGAGGAGAACGACGCCTGGCTGCGTCAGTCATATTCCCAAGTTGGGCGTGGTGTGTTCTCGTACTAGTCAGAAGCCCTCCGAGCCCAAAGAGTAGCATCTTTGGGTCTATTGTAAGCGCAGAAAGTCCGCTTGTTACGCTGAGGTAATTGGGGATGTGGAAAATAAGGAGCGGCGCTGATGTTGCAGCCTACACTGGACGCCAGCTGTCGTGAACTTTGGAGTTGAGACGCCAAGATATTCTAGGCACGTGACCTCTGGTAATCTACTGGGCCATCTGGGCTCTACCTCACAGACGTAGATGTAGCGTAGTCACCACTCTACAATATTTTCTGGGTAATATGATAGTCTGAGTGTATTACAAAATATTTGAGGCATATGTCACCACATTTGCATATCTCATCAAATGCGAAAATGCGGTAGTACCAGTGTCCTGTCTGCAACGACAAATTATATCGCATTTACACTGGTCTGCATCTTGCAGCATTTCGCTTCCACCACTTTATTGGCATCACCATAGCAGCGAGCCCAAAAGGATATTTGAATCTCAAGCTGTCGTTGCGCACCATGATCCTGTGCGTTAGCTGTTTGCCAAGCGACTACAGTTGTCCTTAAGGCTGTCAAGACTTTTGAATCGGGCCATCTGCGGATCTTGTTATGGCAATCTGATCACATTCCCGAGAATTGCCCATCCATTATAATCTCTAATAGGATGGGATTCTCTTCTTGCGGGATTGTCGGTCAGAGCGGAAACTGTGATCGTCAAGGTTGACGTCTCAATGCATATACGGGTGATTGCACTCAAAGGCATGTAGTGTGATAACTTTGGAACCGACTGTGAATAAACGTGGCGATTTCTTACAAGCCAAAGCGATGTTTTGCTACGAATGGCTTTGACTGAGCCTAAGTAGTTGCAGTCTCCCGGTGACTGTCGTTCTTAGACTGTTTTGTTCTAAATCTCCTGATCTGCCATGTACAAGGGTATGGTAGTACAGTACTTAGTGCGACATGGGTACCAATGATAAAGGTAAGACCTGCAACAATTCGCAATGATTGAAAGCACAAATCCTCAGCACTATTTCATATCCTGATCATGGGCACAGTGTACTTGGATCTTGGGGCTTACTGCATCCACAGCCGTTATGTTCAAGGACTACAGACCCGACAGCCACAGACTCGATACTAGAACTGAATCATGATACGTCTTAAAACGAACTTGACAGCTGCAGTCGTGTAGTCGATCAGAAATCCTTACGGGGCTGGGTGGCGCGGGCCAGACTGCCATCAGATGAGAGCCACTCTCGAATAGCGGGGCGCGGAGCCTTTGCCAGCGGGTATAAGACGTGTGCTACACCTCGCTGTTCTAGAAAAGCATGGGACGGACGGACGTCATCACGATCGCAGCCGGACGAGCTGTCCCAGACCTTTAGCCGAGCAGTCCAAGTACTCTATTTCTCTGCAACAAAGCCTGTACTCTGAATCTCTGCCACGTCCAGATCATTCGTGGACTCGTAGCCGCCTTCAAATAACGATCTCTGACAATCTCCCGCCCGTGCGGCAACCAAGTGCAGTCTAGAAGCAGTGGCCTTCCCGCTTAAGGATCCTTGTTCATCGAATTCCCTCCCCACAGTCCGCGGACAGGCCATCTACAGGCGTCCTCGCATTTCCAAACACTGTGATAAACCTGTCATTCGACTCCTTCCTTTCTCTTCCAAACCTCCACTAGCGCACCCCTCCACTCCATGATCTGTTGAAGGCCTTCCTATGTTGCGGGCTGAAGGGCGCTCTCGGTTCTTTTCCCCTGTGACGACAGTCGCACGGCTAATCCTTCCTCCTTGGACCAGGTCCTGTTGAGCATCATATTTGCGCATAATACTACATAATCGTAATGGCTGATCAAGACAACCATGAGTGTGGATATTTCCCCATGGGTGAAGGATCCAGATCAGGATCGCCAAGTTCAATACGAAGCGATCCGTTGTCTATGCATGCACCCTCTCCCATCATGGCGTCCCTTGCTGCCCTACAATACTTGCCGATTCCCGTCCTGGTCTTGTCTTCCCAAAAGACAGTGGCACTGGCAAATGAAGCTATGGGTAGGTTATTGGATATAGACTTCGAGAGTATTTCAGAAGTGCTTCAAAATAAGACCATGGGCGAACTTGGCATCGACATCCTTCAAAATGGTTCCCCGGTCCTTATCACCTGGGAGGTTCGTTCTTCCAAATTCCAATAATTCAGAAACATTTGCTAACTAAACACAGGACTTTCTGGACAGTGTCGTAGAAGACTCGAAGCTGGTCAACATTCCCGATGCAGAGAGTGAAGATCCCACAGGCAGCGGCCACACTACACCTACTGCAGCAAGGACACCTCAGCAAGCGATGCCGCCTGACGACCAGCCGTTGCCCAAATTGAGCATCACCAATCTCGCACGTACAATGGTTTACGATGTTGCTGTGGACGTTGTCGTTGCCCCGCTCCAAAAGCCCGACAGAAGCTCTGCATACAAACATGCCATGCAGGTATCCTGTATCGTTTCCATCTGGAGCATCGAGGAAACCCCCTATTACACGCTGTCGTTTACAAGCGCGAACGCTACTGAGACTACACCCAAAGCTTCCAGTCGAATTGTGAACCGGTCCAATACGGGGCCATACTTGAACAAATCCCGAAGCTCTGGCTCCAGTACATCCTCTGGTCACCGTTCCGGGAGCAATTCAAACACAGCTTCCAAAGCTGTTACGCCTATACTACAGCAACCGGAATTTCCTCCCAGGGGTCCACCGCAGCGGCGGGGGGATATCACAGCTTCTGCATCTGTATTCCAGAAGGTCACACAGTTGAAGGACGCAATACTAAACTCAATCAACCTCCCAAGTTTTGCATTGTCGCATGACGAGAGCCTTGGCTTACCTAACAAAGCCCTACTTCGCCTTCTCCCCAAAGATCGAATGTACTCAGCAGGCGATCAAAGAGATTTTCTCTCCCAGTTTCCCGTGTGGACTGACGATTTTCAACGCACATTATCAGTTGATGAGTTCCCAGTCGTAGAAGTCTGTCGTTCACGGAAACGAGTAAAGACGCGAATCGGTATGCGACAACCTGTCACAGGTACCCGAATCGTATTTGAGGTCAGCGGAGAGCCTGTCTATCATGATGAAAGTGGTGAGTTCCTTGGTGGAATCGTGGTTTTCAAGGACATCACCGAGTACGCCAATGAGATTGCCGCTCAGATCCAAGAGAATGAGAGACAGTTTGAGTCCATCGCAAACTTTATGCCGGTCATGGTCTGGACAACGACACCAGACGGACTACATGATTGGTTCTCGCAGCGCTGGTATGATTATACTGGGCTCACAGTTGAGCAATCCATTGGCGAAGGCTGGCGACTTCCCTTCCATCCAGAGGACATGAAAATAACTGTAAAAAGCTGGTTTCACTGTTTGAAAACGGGCGAGGAGTACAACACAGAGTACAGGTGCCAACGATTCGACGGAGAGTGGCGTTGGATGCTTGGGCGAGCTCTGCCAATCTTCGATGACTCGGGGCGGATTGTGAAGTGGATCGGGACGTGTACTGACATTCATGATCTAGTCGTGGCGAGGCAAGAAGCACGGCGAACAAGGGAGCAGCTACAGCAAGTTATACAACATGCCAAGATCCTTTTGTGGGCTGTGAACCGCGACAACAAGCTGGTGCTTCTCGAAGGTGACGATGGAGATACGAAGGATGATGGCAAGCTTGGAGGGGGTGGAAACAGAGAAGAGATGCTGGGCCAGGACATATACGATGTGTTCCAGATACCTGCCATGGAACGAGAACGTTGGCAAGAACCGATTCACGAGATCCTCGAGGGGAAACAGCAAACTGAAATTGTCATGGGTCGATATATTTCCGAAGCACGCTTCTATCGAACACGCCTTGTCCCTTTACTAAACACGTCCCGGACAGCAGGAGTGGATGGAAAGGTGTTTGTTGATGGGGTCATTGGCGTGTCCATGGATGTTACCGAATTGCGCGAAAGAGAGGAACAATTGCGCGAACAAGAGAAGGAAAACTCGAGACTTCTCGCCAACACCGCAGCTGCAAAAGAAGCAAGCCGTATGAAAAGCAATCTGCTGGCGAACACTTCACATGAATTACGTACACCAATCGCCGGGGTCATTGGCATGAGTGAATTGCTTTTCGACATGGACCTGAACGAGGAACAAAAAGAGTGCACGGAGAATATCCATCGCTCAGCCAGCAGTCTATTAACGGTGATTAATGATATCTTGGACTTCTCCAAAGTAGAATCCGGGCGATTGGATGTGGAAGAAGTCCAGTTCAGTCTGAGTGTGGTATTGAGGGACGTCAACAAGATGATGTCTTTCGCAGCACAAAGAAAAGGTCTAGCCTATCAGAGCTTTATCCAAGATGAGGTTGAGATGGATTTAAGGGTAATGGGAGACCCCGGTCGATTACGGCAAATTCTGATCAATGTCTTGACCAACAGTATCAAGTTTACATCAGTGGGCGTTGTCAAACTCACAGTCGGCATCAGCCGTGAGACAAAGAACACAGTCACAGTGAACTTCACTGTCAGTGATACGGGTATCGGGATAGAGGAAGAAGTCCGGAAGCGGCTTTTCCAACCCTTCAGTCAGGCAGACTCAAGTACAGCCAGACGATTTGGAGGAACTGGCTTGGGTCTGGCCATCAGTAAGAATCTTGTCGAACTTATGAAAGGTCAGATCTGGTTGGATTCAAAACTGGGCCAGGGCACGACTGCAACCTTCTGGATACCGTTCAGTAAGGTACCTTGTGCGAACGATGGGTCGCCTCTCGTGAATCTGGAGTCCATTCCAGATCGACTTCAGAGTGATATGTCAGTATCCTGTGGCAGTTCCGAGGGACATACACCGCCGATGACGCCTCAAATTACGAATGGACATACGCAATCCCATCCAGCAAATTCTTATATTCCAGATCAATGGATGAGTCTTACCGAAAGCGAACGACAAAAAGTGCACATTTTAGTTGTCGAAGACAAGTAGGTTCTCCTTTTCCAACACAACCGCTCACAGGTTTTGTTAATCTGTAAACAGCCACATCAACCAGCAAATCGCATTGAAAACGATCACGAAATTCCACTTCTCGGTCAACGCCGTATGGAACGGCCAAGAAGCGCTCGATTACCTCGAGCAGGAGTTTAGTCCATCACATCCACGGCCTGATATTATTTTGATGGATGTTCAGGTACGCATAGCGAAGTGTGACATGTCTTAAGAAGGAATCTATGCGTGGCGCCTTTGGACAACCAGACAGCTTCTTGCTGATCCAAGACATGTCGATTTTCGACAGGACAATCACTGACAGCCTTTGCACAGATGCCCATTCGGGATGGCTATTCTGCTACCCATGCGATACGGACAGAAGCTCCCTGGCGCAACCGACCTGAAATTCGCGGTGTTCCCATTGTTGCTATGACGGCCAGTGCGATTCAAGGGGACAAGGAGAAGTGTGTTTCGTGTGGGATGGATGTGAGTGTTTGATATTATTTGCCTGCTCAATAGGAACATGGCGCTGAGACGTTGTAGGACTACTTGGCCAAGCCTGTCAGAGGCAAGCTGCTCGAGAAGGTAAGTCGTCCATGCGATCATCACCTGGCCCTGCATCCTTCTCCATCGATGGGTCCATGCGATAGCATCGGTAGCCATTTCTGTAGAACTGCAGGGTCTGGTGCAAACCACTCAACCTGCTAACTCTTTGAAGATGCTTGTCAAATGGGCCATTGAGGGGCGGCGAAAAAGGGCTAACATCATGCTATCCAAAAGTATAGCTGATCAACATGGCGTTGCAGTCAAGCCAACCCAAACTTCCGCAGCGAGCCTTAGTGCGAATGATCTCCCGCAATCACTAGAGACGCCCATTCCATCGCCTGAAACAACGGCGCAAGCACTGACCGCTTCACTTGACCGCCTCAACCACCACAGCGACGCGGCGTTTGCGAGGACCGCTGAGGATGAAGGCGACCGGGCTATGCGACGAATCAATGCAGAGGAAAGAGATACCAAACTACGGGACGAAAAGCTCCTATCTCTTGCAAGACCGCAGGCCATGCACCACAGCAGTTCTCAGGGGCAAGAAACGGAACCATGTATGCCATTGACGGAAGAGAACATTGAGAAGCTTGCCCACGAACAGGTTGGAGATGCCCCTGTAGCTTGAAGGACAGCATCCCGCCAACAGGCTCCTCAGCGTAGTCCAGCAGTGGCAGGGTCGAGGTGAAGAGCCCGGGTGTGCAGGTGGATGCAAGAGGGATACTGCTAGAGGCCGAGATGGTTGAAGGCAGCGCGAAGTGATTGTTGCTTGAATGGTCTGAGGACAAACAACGAGAAGGTCATGCCATGGTCTTGCTGGGCACTTGGGCCGTTCGCAGGACAAGCCAGGCGGACCGTACACTACTCGCCAACCGCGTGCCAATGATGCGGGCAAAGAGAAAAATGAAAGAACAAGGATTGGGTTACGAACTACCTGTGTATTCTCATAAAAACCAGCGTGGTGGTAAGTTTGCGAAAATGCAGCATGGTAGAATTGCAGAGCGCAAAGGCAGGGAGATTGCAGAGACTCGTAATTGGTTACGGCGGTGCGAGTATTCGCCGACCTCGAGCGCTCACAGCCTCACTTTATTGGTGCGGCGGCTGGTTGCGCGTTAGCGCACTCTTTGTGGTTTGATGCGTATCTTTGCACTAAGCAATTCACACCTCGATCTGTCCATTCTCTCTCTCGTCCTTGCCGCGACGCACCGAGAAAGGGGTGTGAGAGTATCCAAAGGTTGTGCCGAGTTGAGCATACGCAGCCCAGGTTCGACTCTTCCCCCCCCCCAACCTGGTCTGACGAGATCTCAGCACGTGGACGGTGGTTACATGGACCTTGACCGGATAGAGAGACGTAATCAAAGTCGTTGACAGCATGGCAGGCATGTTTGTTGGCAAATAGTTTGGCTGAGAGGGTTCTTCTGTAAGAAGACTACGGCCATGTCGGACGAGGGGTTGGCATCAACAACAATGCGCCCAGAGCAGTTTGGGGGGCGATTGGGGACACATGCCACAGAGTCTGTTCATCTTGTGCTGTGTGCATGTACAGTACCGATCTGGCCTACATTACAGTACTCTCTCTCCTAGACAGCCTAGGGCTACATGGGAAGTACATGGAAAATGGACATGTATACTACATGTAGATCGAAAACTTGGACGTTAGGGCTGCAGTCTGCAGAGACAGTATAAAGTTTATTCAAAGCCCAAGGTGTTGCGGGACCCATCCTGAAAACGTGGCTGCTGGCCACGAGTGCGCTGACTGTATCTCATCACGAACCTGATGCAAGTTCCGGTAGCCTTGCGCGTTCTTGTCTCTCTCTCCCCCCCCCCCCTCCCCCAAAAGGACCATGACTCTTCTCCAAAGGGGAAAAGGCAAAAAACAAAAGGACATGGGCCACATGTCTCAACGCAAGCTTTGGCTTTCCCCCCCAACGAGACAGAATAGGAGAATTGATTGAGATCTACAAATCGCGAGAATGCGGCACTTTGCTGAATCAAGTCGTCGACAGCGTCTCAAAGCGGCAGTCTTGTAATTTCCCACGCTGATGTGTTGCTTGGCTGACCGTAGTCCCATCCCCCCCCCCCCTACCGTACATGCTGTAGGTATCCACACCTCCCCAGGGCTGGGGGCAGCTAGCAGGTAGTTGGTGTACCTGTAGGTAAATTACCAGTGTGCAATCGGTGGGCGGTAAAGGTGGTCATTGTGCATTTTAGTCTCGAACGGGAGGCTTCAGGGATGATGATCCGGCCAACCAAGAAGCAAACCATGGCAAGGGTGTGTTTGTAGGGATGAATGGACGCGGAGGGATGGACGGGGCCATCTCTCAACCGACCTAAGTAGGATCTGAGGTGAACACGTGCGCACAGACTTTGGGTGGGAACATGGACATGATGCAACGAGCGGAAGCTACCCTCCATCCCTCCATCCCTCCATCCCTCCAGGCTCCCAAGCTAAACAAACCGAACTGTTGACGCTATGCACGTTGGCACTGGCAGGACGTTACATCGGCCTTGTTGCGGGGAGATGATTCCCATCGCCAGTTGCCACGGACCCTGGGCAGATGAGTTGGTGAGAATGGCGGGAGGGAAAGGAAAACCTTGCCAACGGGACTACGTACAGCATCTATGTACCGGTGTACGTACACGGTAGACTCTAAACACTTGGGTCCCGTTATTGGCGCGAGTAGCCATCTAATGCTACCTCTTGTTTCGTGGCCGGTGTCAGAAACGCACGCACGCACACTGCCCACCAGCACACAAAGCACACGACACTTGCACACCGAAACTTTTTTTTTGGCCCTGTCCCCTTTGCATTCAATCCACTAAACCGAGATGCCCGTTCGAAATGTTTAAAAATGGTTGCTACCGATGTTACTGGGGGCCCTGAAATGGCTCTCTCCTTTTTTTTTTTCATTTTGTTTTTTGAGTCGCCGACAA